GTTATTAACACCATGAATTAGTACACACTCTATACTTCTCTGTTATTAACACCATGATTTAGTACACACTCTATACTTCTCTATTATTAACACTATGATTTAGTACACACTCTATACTTATCTATTATTAACACCATGATTTAGTACACACTCTATACTTCTTAATAACAGAGAAGTATAGAGTGTGTACTAATTCATGGTGTTAATAACAGAGAAGTATAGAGTGTGTACTAATTCATGGTGTTGGGTCCCAGTAACATTTTGTTTGAGGAGTTTTATTTGTTTGAGTTAAACGTTTATCTGAAGAACAGGTAACGTTAATCACGGAGATGATAAACTTGATCACGTGTTACTTTGATCACTTTGCCCCCACCCCAGTGGCTCGGTGGCAAGTCTGTAGGCTTATAACGCTACAAACGGGGTTTCGATGCCCGTGGTGGACAGAGCAAGGCATCCTATAGCGTAGCTTTCTGTTTGAGAACAAACAAACAATTGATGAAAAACCAACATTTTAGAAAACCAAGTTTGAAGTCTGCTTTAGACAAACATTTGAACATTTTATGTTATTGATGATTTTTTAAGTGTGCAGTGCTCTTTATTTAACTGAAGGTAAAGATAGACAAAATGATAATTTTAAAGTACGTGCAACATTATTTAAACCGCACATATTTATGATCATTGTTTGGAGCTTAGAATAACGTACTTGAAAGTGAAATAGTATTTTTACTGTTTCTGGCCTTACGCCAAACTCTTGCTCTACGCTGTAGTTCAAACTTCTAGTGAAATATTCAGTGGAGATGGGACTTGGCGCCGTTTAAATTGGAAGTTTGTTGTCTTTACACTAGAGAGCGAAACAGATACAGGATGATTCGATACTTTGGCGTACAGTGAGCTTTGGATTGGCAAGTGTCCCAATTGCTAGTCCTATAAATGAAAAAACAAACTACAATACTTAACCATTCACGTTAAATATTCCGTATTTAGAAAAGTAAATAAACGCATCATTGGCGTAATTTCTTCTATAACTAAAGATTTTGTTTTTATAGCTCGCCATGTGAGACTGGGATCTAGCAAAGTGTGAAAACTTTTTAACACATTTCGGTGTGTATCTCATCTGAGCACGCCACCTGCAGGCAGTGCTATAACATTTCAACACAGCAACTGTTGGCAGTTATATAGCAGATGGTTGAGTAACTTGATAGAAGTTTATAACTGTTGAATTCGCTTCCAGGGGGCAGTTTTAGCATGCCATAATTACAGTTTGGTTTGGCACTGAGTTATGTAGTTAGTTTTTGGTATTACATGTTCCTCCAGTAATAGTTACTGTAAAGTGTTCTAAGTAATGTCCGTTATCGGTACAACGAGAAATATAAGGCTATTGAAATACCACAGATAGATAAACTGTATCATTCCAAAATTCAAGTAGTAGTTTCAACAATGATAATACTTTCTAAATATAATTCTCAGTATATTCCAGTAATATTCGCTAATATTGTGTTGTAACTATGACAACAACACAATACAACCTCATTTTTTCTATTTAACTACTCTAAAATAACCTTTCTCATAACCCTAGAGTGACTATGATTACAGTTATTACTTTTTTGTTACAGGCCACACTTATATGAATAGATTCAAAGCCCCTACAGAGAAAAAAAAAGCACACGCACACGAATAGTCACAGTTGCATCAAACGTTGGTGAAAAACCTCGTCTTTATGGCAAAAAGGAATTTTTTCATTCTTCGTTCCCTTGTCATCCTATCCATCTTCTGGTTCGTAAGAGGACAAAATGTTTATCACCTGAGAGACCAATACGATAGTCTTAGATACATTGTATTTGATGACCAAAATCTTGTTACAACGGAGAAGAAAGCTGAGGTTAGTAGGTTCTTCGATAATATTGAATGTTTATTTTATAGAACGGTGTAATTAATAAAGATGAAAGATGAGTACTTATTTTGTTGATAGTATTGCATGAACAGATAAAGAGAAGTATAGAGTGTGTACTAAATCATGGTGTTAATAACAGAGAAGTTTAGAGTGTGTACTAAATCATGGTGTTAATAACAGAGAAGTATAGAGTGTGTACTAAATCATGGTGTTAATAACAGTATTTGAAAGGAATACCTAGGATGTTCCAACTCCAAAAGGGGCGGAGAGGGGAGAATTCAATATCATGTGAAGATAAAGACTATTTTAAAACTTATCATAGAACTTGTCCACAGCTTTAACCAGAGTACTTTAGAAAGACGAGCTTTCTTCTTCAGGAGTTGAAGAAGAAACTCTGCCTCCAAAAGCGGCTCGGGTTATCAGATTTCTTGAATAATGATTAGTCTTTTTTCTTATATATATATATATATATATATATATATATATATATATAT